CTATAGAAGGATGTAAATATTGGGCTCTAGTGTAAACCACAACAATAGAGGAGTGTTGAAGCAGGGTGAGGGTGGTAATGGGCTGGCACTTTACCATTTTTCCAGCTGTTTTTTGTTAACAATCATTCTGAACATGGGCGTCTCTGCCCAGGAACAATTTAAAGTATAGTTATGACTGCTATTTCATTGGAAGAAAGCTTACCTCTTTATTTCCATGATTTCAATATCTTCCAGTAACAACAAACTACCATATAATGTTTGTTTTGGACGTCATTTTTGTAATGATTACTTTATTAGGTGCTAAGATTGGGGGTTTGGGTTGCAAATAATGGAAACCAAGTCTGGCTAACTTGAGCAGAAAGGGAATGTATGTCAGAAGGATGTGACCTGGAACAGAGACATGGTGAGATAATTGGTGAACTGGGCCTAAGGGATAGGAAGAAAGGGAGTGGGGTAGAAGGTGGGTCAAGGCCACACCACAGGAACATCTGCCCAGAATGCTGCTCCAGCCTCACCTGGCTGCATCATTCACCTTCCTGCTGCTCATGGTTTCTGCTCGTTGGATTTTGAGATGCAGCTGGACTTAGGCTGTCTCTAAAGCCAACACAAGTGATCCTTCTGTTTCTTTTCTTTTGTTTGTCTCCAAACTTAAGGGTGGACAGCAGCATCTGAATGCCCCAGCCTACACAGCTTGACCATGTAGTAACTTCCAGGAGTTGGGAGGAGAGCCTTCACCTTCCTCCGGCCTCTGTAGTGCTGCTGTCCACCTTACCTGGGACCCACTCCAAATCGGAGAGGTATGTGGATGGTGGGAAGCAACAGGACAGATATTCACCCAGGTGCTTAGCTCATTTACCTTCAGATCATCTCGTGAGGCAGGCTCGATCACGTCTCTGTTATGCATGTGGATTTGAAAGTGTAGAGAGATAAAGCGACTTGGACTTCAGCATATATTGTTCCCATTTACTGGGACCTTTCCATCTCTTCCATCAATCCCACCTCGGTTTCTCAGGCCTGCTTTAATTACTTTCTCAGAAAAGCCTGCCATGAAGCTTGTATAGGGCCAATTCTGCTACCCAGTTCTCATCACGGTCTGTATTTTCCCTTTGCAGAAATACCGCATGTGAGTCAAATAAATACTTAGTGTGTGTCTTCTCTCCAGCCAGAGAGAAGCTCCAGAAAGGGCAGGGAATATATTTTGTTTCCTGGTGTGTTCCCAGTGCCTAGCATAGTTCTGGGTACACAGTAGGTGCTCAAGTTCATAACTACCTTTTGCCACAAATCACTGAATTCTTAAACTTCTCAAAAAATCGTCATTGCTAATAGGCTGGATTATAGTACTATTGGATGCCTAGCTGCTGCCTCAAATATGTATCCATTTGTGACAGGATATAAAAAGATCAGTGTTTCATGTTTGATTCATTTTGCATATCCTGAACATACTTCTATATGTCTCTTATGCTAAGTGTTCAATGAACAGCTGTATGATTGAATGGGTAAGTTCGTTCTAAGACTTTCATTCCTAGCATGCTAATTAGAATACTATCCTTTCTTCTGAAGAGGTGGAATTCTTCCGCTTTGGGAGACAAGCTAAATTAATCTGAGTAAGACAGGAAGGGAAAGGAGGGAGAGCAGAAGAGATGGAATAGTGGGGGTGGGAGTAGGGAGGAGACAGTAGACGGGGACTGAAGGGAAGAAAAAACAAGGAGAGAAGACTATAATGTGAGTAAGGTCATCTATATTTTGGATCCTTTTCCATGCCCTTAGCTTTAGCAAGGAATGGATTTCCTTTTCTTATTTGAACTATTGGACAGTGTTTTCTGAATGTGTCACTACCTTGGGACTCAGCCACTTGGGTGTCTCACTTTGAATGGTTACATGTAAAACCCATATTGTCATCTTTCCCTTAGAAGATATAATCTTGTGGCAACTCTAGCCATCCTTAGTTCCTGGAGCCTTATACCTTGAAGTTATCTTCGACTTTCATTTGTCTTTGACCACAATGGCCAATCCTTCACTACATCCTGATTCTCTATAAAGACTCTTTTCCCTCATTTGTCATTATTAACAATGCCATTCTTATTTAGTCCCTAGTCACATAATGTCTGCAATATGTAAAACTCCTAATTAGTGTCCCTGACTCTGGTCTCTCTCTTCCTTAGTTCATCTTACAGTGCTTGCCAAATCTTTATGATGACCTGGCTAATGCAGGTCCAGTATGAGTCCTCTGCAAGATTTTAAAAAAACATGTCCTTCCTTCCATTGGCCACCCATCTTTCCCTCTGTAGATCAGTCTATGACCATCATGCTTCTTTCTCAGTCTATTTCCTTTTGCTTTGATCAAAACCTTCAGTAGCTCATCCCATGCAGGAATAATTTCCCACTTTTTAGCATGGCATGGCACACAGTTTTTCTTGTCCTGTGCCTACCTACATTTGGCCTCTTCCCCAGAGTGTTAAGCTGTTTTATGTATCAGTGCCAACCACATATGCTCCTCTGTTTTCTCAGCCTAGGATGCCCATCTCCTTTCCCTTCTGTATGAGTTTTACATATTCTCTGAGATTTAGTTCTCTTGTTTAATCTATAAGGGGTAGTTGTAGAACTCTTTGTTCTGTAACTGCTAGGGACCTAGTAATGTGTGCAACTCCATTCTGGATGCAGTGAACATTCCAGGCAAGGTTCCTTCTCATTGATTTTACATTCTAGAAGACTAACAATTAATGAAAATTAAGTAGAAGACATAACTATCAATAACGGTAAGTAGTAATACAGAAATAAAACAAGTTGTTGTTCTGGAGAGCAGAGGTTTGGAACAGCCATTTACCCTGATATCCAGGAAAAGTTTTCTTGGAACAGATGCTATTTGATCTGAGACTTAAATGGGAAAAGGGGCTCATCATTCAAAGATTGAGGAGAAGGTCATTTCAGGTAGAAGGAACAGTAAGTACTAAGGTCCTGAGGCAGTAGAACTTGGGATGTGTTAATGGAACAGAAGTGTGCTCATCAGCTTTCAGTCACTGTGACAAAATACCAGAGAAAAACAACTTAAAGGAGGAAAGGCTTACTTTGGCTCATGGTCTCAGAAATTTCCATCCATGGTCAATTGCCATTGCTTTAATGCTTTTGGTGATGTAGAAGCATCCTAGTGAAAGGGTATGAAAGAAAATTTCCCCACTTTATATACCTGGGCTGTGAAATCTAGGTAGTTGATCACCAAGGGAAATTTAAAACTAAGTAGCACAAGTAAAAAAATCAGAGCATGTTGTACTTGTTAAGGGTATTATTTCAGGAAACTACCATTTTAATTTTTTATGTTCATGCAGATGTAAGTACAGGGTGGTGATGTAGAATATATTTCTTATTGTGAGTTGCTGTGAAACTGAAAGATAACAATTTTAATTCAATCTCTTTGTTTTGCAGATAAGGGGGTGTAAGAAGATTAAGTACATTGGCCAAAATTACTAAGCTGGTTAAAAGAAAAGACAAGACTTGCAATGAGGTCCCTGCTTGTCTATTTTTCTGTTCACATGTAAAAATGGCCATAATACTCTTTGCTATGCTGGCCTTAGAGAACTGTAGAATTTAAATGAGTTCATTCAAAAGCTTTTCAAAAACCATAAACTGTCATACAAATGGAAGACACATATTTGCATCAGTCAAGTTTATCAGTCAGAAGACAGAAACTGCTGTAGGTATTTAGGCAGAAGGGAATTAATACTGGATTTAGGTCACGCAATTATTGGAAGGGTGGGGTAGCAATAAGTAGGGGAGGATGATGTTATCCAGAACACAGAAAATGCAGAAAGCCCCTGCATTCTCTGGTGATTAACCACTGATAGAGGTCCTGAGGAGCAGCGAGGAATAAGAAGGAAACCAGCAGAGAAATAGTGGTGAGCTGGAAGCCTAGTGGAGAGAGAGAGAGAGAGAGAGAGAGAAAGTGTGTGTATGGGGGGACAGTGTCATATGAGTCAAATGATGGAAAAAGAACAGAACTTAAATTTGACCTTTGGATTTAGAAGTCTTTCACAGCAATGAAAATCTGACTTGAAAGAGGTCTAGAAAGATTAAAAGGAGAGGAGTGAAGCCAGTAGTAGTAGATAACCCATTTAAGGTATTTGCCTATAAAAGGGAGTGAGAGAGGGGTAGTATCTGGACTGGCAATATTAGGCCAAAAGAAGCATTTATTTCTATTTTTTGTCTTGCTTTGTTTTATATAGGCAGTATACATCATGTGTGTGTGTGCTGATGGGAATGATCCAGGAGAGAGAAGTGTGGAGCAGGTTCGCTAATCCTCAATGCCGAGAGAGGACTCCCACCATGTGGAGAATCATCACTATGGCAACTGGCAGAAGTAGGAATCTATACACGTGTGCCCACAGCATCATCCTGGGCTGCTGCTTAGGTCCACAATAAATTGGTTGGTTACCTGTTTGTCTGAGTCCAGTGAGGCAGAATACATTCACATGCAAGTTTATGGAGTGGCTTTATTAGAAATAGGTAGCAAGGGACAAAAGAAATCTGGGGTCCATTGTGAGTTGGTCCCATGATTGCAAACAAGCTTCCCAAGATAAATGAGTCTTCACTCTACACGCGCTCACCACACCTGAGAGAGCCGGAAAGGGAGCCTGTCCTGAGTTATACAGCTCAGGGGATATGTGACTCACCAGTCAAAGCTTTGAAGGGTACCCTGTTCCTAGGGGAGGGAGGAACAAGGCTTGAGCTGTCTCAGGCAGTCCCTCTCCATCTCTGCTCACTTTGCAATTATTCTCAAGAACTGCAAGCCAGGAAAGGGGGAAGACTGGGTGAGTCCAAGGTCATCCAGGGAATGGTCTTGTAATGGGGAAGCTTGGGGATGCCATCGCAATCTTGGGGATGCTATACTACTGCAGGAGGTAAGGCATTGCATTGCAGTGTTGGGTTTGACTTTAGATAGAAGCCTAGATAGCTCTATGCACAATTACAGGGCAAATGATGCAATATAAAGGGGTAGGCAATATTACCTGGAAGGATGTGTCAGGGAGCAGGTGACATTCTCCTCTCATGGCTCCTATTATTTCACTGAAGTAAGCAAGGTCATCAGCTGAGAGTCAGGTAAAAGACACAGAGAGAGATTTATCACCAGACATAAGGTGAGGGGGTGCCTCTGGGATCTGTGCTCTTTGCTAGCTCTGCTTCTGCCTTTAAGCAGACCATATCATAAAGACTATCTTCCCCTACCCTCATAGCCCTAAACGCCTCCTTAAAACAAGGTGATTTACCTGAGTGGCTTACTTAATCAAACTATTAAAAACCAAATGGCAGTGTAAAAAAAGACACAGGCTCAATTTAGGTGCCAATTCATTGCAAAATTGGCCCTTAGAGACTATAATTAAGAGACAAAGAGCTGACAGTGGATCCAAATGGAATAAAGGAGCAGGAGTGTGTGTGTGTGTGTGTGTGTGTGTGTGTAGGGATGTGCTATCTGTGGCTGGTTCCCTCTCAGAAGAGCTTCTTTTCCTCTTTTCCCCAATCATCTGGACCAGTGGCCCCCTACTCCTTGGGTGCTGCCTCTATCATTGTGACTTCCACACTGAAATGTTAGGGCAGAACCTAACATTCAGCAGAACCTAACAGCCAGTGTTGACGTGAGCAGGCCTAGGGCCTGCTGAAACCAAGGATAAGTCCAAGTGAGGGCCTCTCTTACTCTCTCTCCCACCAAGAGAAAGGGTTTGGTCCAAAGCAAACAAGCCCTCACTGGATGTCTGCAGACCTCAAGAAATAGAAAAGGGAAGTATAAAAACAGTAGGCTGGAGTTAGGAGTCTCCTAGGAGGTATAACCTCTACCGGCCTGTAGACCTGGCTCAGGCCTCAGCCCCTGGCACAGAAAAGGGAAAACAAGGTCTGAAAAGGAGATTTTCCTAGAGCCTGCCCAACTCAGAACTTCTTCCAATCCCCCAAATGACTTTCATATCACTGGACTTAATTTCCCCACCCCAACCCCAATGATGAGCAAAGGTAGTTCTTGGTGTTTGTAGTTCCAGAATGTTCACCCATGGTAGAGCTAAGGGCAGTTGTGATATGAAAAGTTAGACCAATTTTCCTTGATCACCAATGTATTTCTTTGATTTTTCAGTTTAGTAGTCACAGAGAAAATGAACTGAGATGCTTTGGTCACAAACAGAAAGAATCACACCTGTAGGTAAGTGAGTGCATTGTGTATTTTATCAATAGGGGCAAATTTGGGGAGGGGGATATTCATTCTCATTTTCTTCCTGACATCTTTCCTGACACTGTGGACTGCTCTGTCATGGAATGGCCTTGGAATGATCAGAGTGGCTGCCTCTCCTCCTTCCTGACAGAGTGGGTCCCTGTTGGTCAGTTTCCCAGGTCAGACTTCACGGTAGAGAACAAAGAAGAATCTGAAGGTTCAGAGTAGGACAGGGTCTTCCAAATAAATTATAAATTACACTGGGCACCACATCATATCTATATCCAATGACATGCTGGTAAATGTTTAAACATTACCTCTCAGCTCTCTGGTTTGTAGCATATGCCAATTTTTGTGGTGTAAACAGTCCTACTATGATGAAGTCAAGCTTTCCAATGTGAGTTCACCTGGGAATGCAAAGTGGGAAGAGACAAGCTCTATTGGCTCTCATGAGTTGGCAAAAGCTAGTATCAGCTAAACAGCAATGTTTGCTGTCAGTAATGTGAAGGCAAGTTGATTGCAGGCAATTAATGCTGTGGTAGGACTAAGGAGTGAAAGATACAGAGATACAAGCCTTGAGGAGCTGGACAGAGATAGATTTCTCTGCACCAAAGGGGGAAATACTGGGAAAGTCTCTGCCATGAGTGACTAGAAAAGTACTTAAAAAGAAGTACTGTATAGGGCATTTTAGGAAATGGAGTGAGATGCAGGTAAAAATTATATTTATTTAATACTTTCACAACTAAAAAAGAAAAAAGAAAATAATATCAAAGGCACTCTGTGCTATATAATATGTTTCCTTTTAGCATCCTTAAAAATTCCTTAGTAAAATTTTCAATAATTTTTTACTTATGAGTTGAGTACTATGCCTTGGGAGATGTGTTAGTCAGCTTTCTGTCACTGTAACAAAATACCTGAGATAAACAGCTTGTAAGACAAAATGTTTATTTTGGCTCACATTTTTCAGAGGTTTCAGTACATGATCAAGGGGCCTTATTGGTTTGGGCTTATGGCAAGAGAGAGCATCATGGTGGGAGCATGTAGAATACTACTTATATCATGAACTAGTTAGAAAAGAGAACAGGAAGACATTGGAGTCTCACAGTGATAGAGACCACTAAAAAGCAGACCTGAGCAGGATTTAAATTAATCAACTGGCTTTTCATATTCACTTGTGAATCTGTCCAAGGCCTAGGCTCCTTATCTGGAAAGGGCAGACTCATAATAAGTGAACCTCTGTGAGTCACTAATCCCTCCTACTGCCTGTAGTGGTGGATGAATCCAGAAAGCCTCAAAGGATAAGACAAGATCACAGCCAAGGACACCTGGATCAGATCTCAACTGAATAAAGACTATAGCCTCAGGCATCTCATTCTTGAGTGTTTCCACCCTTCTTGAGTGGATTAACTTAATACCTTAGAGAAGTCCTTGAGTGGTTCCACCCTTCCTGAGTACTCCCCTGCCTTCTTCTGATAACCAAATAAATACAGGCCACCCAGAGAAGGTCTTGGTCTTAGCCCTGAAAGAATCTTGAATTCTGTGAGAGGGCTTTGATCCTCCTGGAGCCCTGAAATAATTCCATTTGCCTCTTTTTATTTAGCCTTTGCCATACACTCATTCAGGAGATTGCAGACCTGATCAGCCTGCAATAACTAAGGGATATTATTAAGCCGATACCACAGTTCCTTTCCAGGGCCTATCCCCAGTAACCCAAATGCCTATTAGGTCTCACCTCTTAGAAGTTCCACCACCTGCAAAAAGTACCCAAAAGCCAACACATGAACCTTTGGGGGAACATTCAAAAACCAAACTATAGCAGGGCATATGGTGGAATATTGAGTTCTGCTATGAGGATATCATAGGACAAATGTGGAGTCTACTTATGAGAGAGCACCCATGCCCTAATCCACCTTGTGATAATCTCTTATTTATTCAAATCAGTAATGACTGGAATTAAACTCTATGAGGCAAAGTACTTGGTTTTGATAACTTCTATATTATTTGTACGGAGAAATATGCAGGGAACATGCTCAGTAAATACCATTTGAATATTATTGGATGGCTTTTTGAAACATGTCTACAGCAATTCGTGGAGCACTGTCCCAATAGAACTTAGTGCAATGATAGGAATGTGCTTATACTGTGTTGTCTAATATCATAGCCACTACAGGAAGTGACTACAAAGGAAACTGCAAACACTTTAAGTGTGGTTACAGCTCTTAATAAATTGAATTTAAAATTTTATTCAGTTGAACTAATTTTAATTGAAATGACCACGTGCAGCCAATGGCTACCATAATGGATAGCACAGGGCATACCATACTATTCGTGCTATGGCCTTTGGGTCTGCTGTGTTAGCACCTCTTTCAAGCTTGCCAGAAGCACAGAATCAGGCCCCAGCATCACCCCACAGAACCCAAATATGTGTTCCATCCTCATATATATATTTATATACACACCCAAATCTGAGAAGCTCTGCTGTAACAAGCACTGGCACTTTCACATAAATTATCGCATTTGATCCTCAAAAAATACACATTGTGGCTATCACTTTTCTCATCTTATAGATGAAGCAATTGAACCACTGAAATATTACGTGATTTGCTAAATATTACAGAGTGGAAGAAAAACTGGGCCGATAGCCCAGAATTTCTTCTGTTATGTTCTTCCTGCACTGTAAGGATGAAAGCTAACAGGCGAGATCCAGGCAATTTCAGCAGCACCATTTCTTTCAGCCCTGTTTTAAATGGAATAGGATCATAGCATTGTACTGCTAGAAATATGAGCTGCAGACATGATAGTGGAGATAGGTTGTAGAGTGGGATAGAATCATGGGTACAGGAATTAGCTATTAGCTTCCAGTCCCTTCCTAAGTATAGTTGAGTGAGGAGGAATTAAGGCATAGTCCAGATGTAATGGCAGGCTTATTTTAACCAAAAAAAGTGGTATTTTCTTTTCTCAAACTCTGTTTATATGCATATAAGAAATTCTAGCTGTTTTTCTTATGTTTGTTATGATATTGTGTGAAACATTGGAGAGGTTTTTTTTTGAACAATTTGGAGACTATATTTTGATTAGGCTGATCCAATAATTCTGTTTAGGAAGTCCCAAGGGGAGAGAGATACTCCCTCCATAATGACTGAGGGCAAGTTATAGAAGAGAAATGAACAGCATTTTCAAAAATGAACTCCCAATTTTTAAAAAGTCATAAGTCCTGTATTGAGATTCCAAATCTTAAGACTGATCTTGTTATCTATCAGTCACTCATGGAGGCATATCTCTGTCTGAAACTCCAGGCTTATGTCAAATAAATTAATACATGCATTTGATGATGGCAAATGAGTCTCCAAAACAGTGAAGAAGAAGGAGAAGAAGAGGAGGAGGGGGAGGGAGAGGAGGAAGAAGTAAAGAAGAGGAGGAGGTAAGGAATAGGATGAGGAGGAGGAGGAGGAGGAAAAGGAGAAGTCTATAATAATTATGTACTGATGTGCTGTTGAGGCAGAGTTTTCACTGTGGACACTTTCCTCTTCAGACAACCCATTCCTGACCAGCTTACAGTAATCCATCGACCCCTATCTTTGTATAAACAGAACTCTGCTGTGAAAAGACTTACTTCCAGGAAAAATACAAAACAAATGAAAGGAGTGAATGCACTTTTGGCTTGAAAACCAGTGGTGAGAAAGATCAAGCAAAGGAAAAAATAAGTAAACAAATGAAGACCTGTCGTCTGTCTTCCTCTGTTCTCTGGCAGAGAGAATGGCCATTTCTCCAACCTGCACCTGAGCTGGAAGCTACTCCTGACTCAGCTATGTGGGCATTTTTAGTTCATTCCCCTCTCTGACCCTTCATATTTAATTAGCTCTCAAATTTGGTCAAAATTCTAGCTTTTCAATAACTCCATTACTCAATTTCTGTTCTGAGGGCTGTCATCCAGGTCTTTATTATTTTATCTGTCATTCTTCAATTACCTCTTAACTATTCCCAAAAACATCCTTTGGTTTTTTTTGTTTTTTGTTTTTCTTCAGGTACCAGGGATCGAACTCACTACCTTGCGCTTGCCAGGCAGGCGCTTTGCCGCTGAGCTAAATCCCCAGCCCCCCCAAAACATCCTTAACCCACTCATCAACCCATTATTTCTGCAAAACTGGAAGACTAAATCCCAAAGGTAACTAAACAATTATCTATACCTCCATCACCTACCATTGCCATGTTTGCACCCTTTTATAAAATTATGTTATAGTTCTTGATAACATTGCCTTACTCACAAGCTCCTCTGCCCAATCTTCTTCCTGCCTCTCCAGAGGTAACCACTACCATGAGTTAGGTGCTTGTATTATTTGTTCACAATCATGTGTTGCCTTCTTGCTTTGTTGTGCTTCCCTGCAGACAGGACACATTGACTTTGGACTTGGCTGTGTGACTTTCTTTGGTTAAAGAGACACAAATAAATGGGAAGCATGTATATGCCCAAGTATTTAATGTGCTCTCATAGTCTACTGCCATTCCTCCTGAATTCTTGTCCTTTACCATGGTTATAGCAAATCCCAGGTCAGGGCTGTTCCTCCAGCACTGGTACCAGAATGAGAAGGCACATACTGCTACCCTCGCTGAGCCCAGCTAAACCCACAAGAGTCCAGCAGATCCTGACAGTTGAACAGAAGCACAATTAGCCTGCAGCCCTCATGCAATGTGAGTAAAAACAAATATTTGTTATTGTAACCCGCAGAGATGCCGGGGTTCTGTGTTTTATAGCAAAAGCTGACTAATTAAAAGTATTTATATTGTCAAAGTTTACCAAATGAACACTAATGTATCTGTTGTATTTATTTTCTATACTAGGATATACATATGTGTCACATGCAGTTCTATTTAAGTGTGTGTTTTCCAAGATTTATACAATGGTTACATTCTGTATATATTTTTATGCATTTGGTTTTGTTTTTACATTTAAAAATTTTTTTCTTTTAAAGAGAAGAAAAATTTTAAAAATCATTAAAAATGATACAGAATTTCAAAACAAGATGATAGGAAATCAGCAATGGTTGTTATATTGCATACTGTTTTCTTCAAAGTAATTGTTCTGACTATCAGATACAGGTATGCAAAATTGGTCAAAAAATTAAGCATTAATTGTTCCTTTCAATAAACCAATAGAAATTAGTAGTACAATTATCTTAGTTATTGTGTGTGTGTGTGTGTGTGTGTGTATTTTTTCTCCCTTCTTTCTTTTTTCTTTTCCTTCTATAAAGAAAGATAAATTGGAGGTTTTTCTAGATAAATGGGTGCAACTCAAGACCATATTTATAAGTGAAATAAACCAGACTCACATATGTAAACATTGTATTGTCTCCCTAGTGTAAGAAACTGAAAGAGTACATCCTGATTTTTATATTTGATATGTTTTGGAATGCTTTCTGTATAGATGTGTCTAGATCTAGTTCATTCCCTTTCACAACTATCACAGAAATTCTTCTAAAGCCTAAATTTGGGCATGTCACTTCCTGACATGAAGGGCTGACCACTAAAGGCAGTCACCAACAGCAGTTCTGGCAACAAGGGCCACAAGCACTTCCTGAAAGGGCAGCTAGATGGGATGGCATGGTGTCCACCACAGTGTCCCTTTGCACACCTGGATCCATGCTTCACATATATCTGGAAGCATCCCTCCACAGAGCAAGGTTACCAGGACAAGCTAGAGTTCCTCCTATGACAACCAATCTTAGAACCACAATTGATGTTTATTGTATCTTCCACTATCATCCACTGTAGATTCTTTCCACTCTCAACCAGCACTGCTGCTCACCTGGATGGTTTACCTGATGGAATGGCCCAGACCTGCCTTCCTGAGGGCTCTGAGCCATGGCTATTATCCTCTTCTGGGTTTGGGTTGCTGCACTGGTACACTTGCTGTCAAAATGGTTCAAGGAACAAGAGACACCAACTGAACCACCCCAGTGCTATATACATTCTTCCTTAACTCCACTGCATGACAGTGACCTGTTAGTTTTGCACACAAAGAAAGACGTGAAAGCCAAGAAGCTGATACTAAACCAGTTTCTGATTCCACTTACAGCCAGTGCATTAATTCACTTTCCCTTTTATTAATAATGGCTTATTTTTAAAATTCTGGCCTATAATTTAATATATAAATGTACATGAGTATGTATATATATGCATATATATGAGCATGTGTAATGCAGGCATATATAATAACAATGACTACAATACAAACCATATACCTAGGAAACCAGGAATACTGTAGAAAGGATCCAGAATCTTGTCATCTGAAGGGAAATGGGAAATATTTACTTTTTTGTTTTTGAGGTGCTGGGGATTGAACCCAGGCCCTTTCACATGCTAGGCACTTGCTCTACCACTGAGCTACACCTCAGTCCCTGCTGACATTTTAGTATCTTACTTAACAATCTCTTTCCCTATATGTTTTTGATCATTTTTAAAATAAAAAGAATATATAAATATTAGTATCTTGCCTCTTTTGTAGGGGAGCGTTTACAGTGTTGTCTTGGTTACTTTCTCTCATTGCTGAGACAAAATACCTGACACCAAGAATTCAGGAAGGAAAGGTTTATTTAACTCACAGTCTGTGGAGTTTTCAGTCTATACTTGGCTGGCTCCAAGGCAGGGTGGCACATGGCAGGGGACAAGTGTTCATGGTTGCAGAAAACAGCAAAGGAACAAGAACAAAAGGGAGGAGAGGCCGGAGGAGCAGCAGCAAGTCTCCTCTTTCAAAAAGCTCCCTTACATTGCATGCAAACTCCCCACCCCAGGGCAGGTGTAGCACTCACACCCATAATTCCAACACTGAACCATGAATCAATCATAAATCTAGAAGCCTGCCTCATGACTGCATGAGGCTTTTGCGGGGACATGCAGACACAAGCCATGACAAGTATATTTTGAATATTTCTTAATTACTTTAACTTTTCTGTGCATTCAAGGAAGGGAAAAAGAATTAGGCTGATTATGATTACTTCTAGATAGCATTCTTCAATGTACTTTTTACGGTAAGAATTGTTGATTTTAAGGTTTTTTTCCGAAGGTGATTTGTGTTTAGAAGGTAGAGAGAAGCACATGTAATGCAAGGCATCTATAATGAAAATGACCACAATAATAACATATATTAGCTCATTAGCAGCATGTATAACTCAAAACCATGTTATGAGCTCAGTGCAGACTATTACTGTCACTATCTATGAGAAAACTGAAGCTCAGAGAGATTCAGTACCTGGAACTGCAGTTTGAAGGTAGATATTCCTCACCTCAAATCCCACACTCATAACTACTGCAAGGGTCTAAATTTGCTGGCCTGGAGGAAGAAGATTCCAAACAGATGGTGACCAGAGGGCACCTATGGCAACTTGCAGCTTTCCGCTGGGTCCCCAGCTGTAGGACCACAGGGAAAGTGCTGTGTGGTCCACTGTAGGGTGACCAGAGAGTAGGGAGGCAGGCAGGGATTAACAAGGGCAAGACGGGAAGTCTGGCTAAACCGGCATCCAGCCTGGGCAGAGTCTGCATTACGGGGACTCGCCTGAGGGCCCCACCACTAAGAGCTGCAGGTGAATGAAAGAGGGTGACACAGCACCTTGGCAGGAGAACAAGATCACTGAAGAGGGGGGTTACCCAGAATAACCATTAGCAGACTGCAAGAAAGCTCCCTGACTGGGATAGACAAAGCCCAGGTCCTGAGAGAGGAGGTGGCAGAAGGCTGGCTCATGGGCTGGAAGGAAGGTGGGGTTCCCTTTCCTTCTAACCAACCACTTTGCCTCGTGCCCTGAGGGATGCCTGTTAGAAGGAGAGGAGATAAAATGATTGTACTGTGGAAAATGATGCAGATTTGCCACAAACCCTACATGGGAAAGTTCCTAGCAGCACTATTTAAATTGACCCCAACTGGAGATGACACAAATGTTCATCCAACTGGACAGATAAATAAGTGATAGTGTAATCATACAATGGAATACTCTAAAGCAATGACAGTAAATGATATAAAACTATATGCGATAAAATGGGGAATTTTCAGAAAACACAAAATGAGCGAGAGCGGACATAAAACCATGCATTCTGAAAGATTCATCTGAAATTCAAAGCAGTCAAAACTCTTCTACACCCTTGAAAGGATGGTCTAGCTCAGCGGTGGGAAGAGTGACAACTAGAAAGGTTTATGGGGGAGGGGACAGGATCCTAATATTTTGCTTCTTAAAAATCTGGCTGCAGATTGTATTTGTGCATTCTATTTTATCTGAACTTGATCAGGGGTATTTATTAGATTACAAACAAGAAAAGAAGTAAGAGAAAGTACAGAAATAAGGAAGAACTGTAGTAACAATAGAATAATCCAAACCATTATGATGAAGACATTTAATTTCATTTAGCTTCCATTTGTGGATAGAAAATGGAACATTTTTTTGCCAATTATTTTCTACACTGTGATTCCAAAATTGTTGTAGCCCCAGTGATCACAAGATGAGTTTCATGCTGTCGAATAATTTACAATTCCTCCAACCCACTTTGGAAGGTTCAGAGTGATGGGCTGCAGGGCACAGTTCTAAGTAGCTTTGAAGTCTTATTGCATTATATCTGTGTAATGCAAATTGACAAGGTCTCTAAATTAGGCAACTAACTAGAAAATGAGGTCTGAAAGCCAGTTTTAGTGGCAGCCAGGATTCTGACCTAAAAGAATTATCTGTTTGTGCCAGGGCATGGGTGGGGCATACAATTTCCATGCAGGGAATCCAGATGATAGGAGGAGCAGGGACTGGGAGATCAAATGGGGAAACCAGGGAATAATCTGGGGGTTTAGAATGTTTTCTGGGTTGCATTGAACAGATATTTATATAGGAATTTTTATGTGCCAGCAACCCAAGCACTCACTATGAATAAAGACTCATTTAACTCTTTCAACAAACCTGTGGGGAGGGTGCTATAGCTATCATCCTCATTTTAAAGTGAGGGAAACTAAATCGCAGAGAGTTTAAATGACACATGTAAGACCAGAGAGCTGCTGTAATGGTTTGTATTTAGATGTTAACCCCAAAGCTTCATGTGCTCGTTGGTGGAGCTTTTTGGAGGTGGCTGGACTTAGGGTGTATGATACTGGGGTTGAGGGTGTGTGGTAACTAAATTGGTTTAGCATAGTTCTGGGTGTGGATAATAGAAGGTCCAACCTGAGTGTAAGTGGCACAAACCAATAGGCTTGTAGCCTGAATGGACAGAAAAGAGGGCAAGTTGGCTGCTTGCTGCTTCCTGCCTTC